GTCCGGTTTTTGCGCTCAGCGATACCATTTTGCTGGGGAGTGTTGGTGGTGCGCTCATCAATGATTCCCTGCTCAGTGAGGTAGGCATCCCCCGTTTTGCCAATGAACTCTCCGGGAGCCCCTTGTCATCCCTAAACCGCTTGATCTGATGCCCGGTTTGCTTCTCCACCAGTGCCTTGTAATCAAGGAAGCAGGCAAAGGCTTCCTTCTTTCACCTGAGCTTGTAGACCATGACTAGGCGAGTGTGTACGTCAATGAACATTACCCAGTATTTGTAGCCTTCGTCTGTTGGTCCGATGGGACCACGAAGGTCAGAGACAACAAGCTCAAGGGGGGAGGAAGTGGTGGATGAAGAGGTAGGGAATGGATCACGGCGTTGCTTTCCAGCCAGGTATGGTTCGCAGAGGCCAGAGAGGGAGGTGTCCTTTGTCCAGTCCTCTTTTAGCCAGATGCAGGAATGGTATGGCCATCAAGGAAGGCAGCTTTGTTATAATAGGTAGCAGTCATGAACTGTTTTCCATCCTGAGTAAAGGAGACGCCATTCTTAGAGAACTGAGTTGTCACATCACGCTTTTGGGCAAGGGAAATCACAGCAAATAGATTGTTATTGATATCAGGTACATATAACACACGAGAGAACAAGACAGGGCAAAGTTTGATGCCTCCAACGACAGGCTGGAAGAGAACAGACCCCTTTCCAAGTGCATAGACAACTTCATCTGTTGCTATACACACAGGAATGCAACAGGGGGCCATGTCTTGAATCCAGTGACGATGGGGAGTCATACACGAAGTGGCTCCTGTGTCTGTGTTCCACTGGGTGTCCGTGATGTTGCTGGATGACGAGGGGATGGTGGTGCACTTGCCATGTGAGCAGCTTCCTCGCCCTCAGAGCTTGAGTCCTGGGTAGTGGCTTTGGCAGCCTTCTCTCCAGTCTTGCACCTAGCTTCCCTGGCCTTTCACTGCTCTTCGTTGCGTTCCTTCATCCATTTGGGCATCTTCTCTGGGTGGAGCTGTTGCACTAGGTGGTGCATCTCCTCTTTACCTCTATCGCATTTGCAGTATTAAGTTTGGTATACAGTATTATTCTCATCATTTGTCATATTTGTTCTACGATGTATAGGCAGTTGTTGTTAGATTGTGGCGTGTTTGTACATGTTGCGTTATTGTTTGTCCTGATTCATATATAAGCTGAATGTACACGCAGACAGAATTATTATCGACTCTTTGACTCCCCTTTCTCAGTGGACCCCCTGGTGGTGCAGCTGGAATCACCTGGGTCCCCTGAGGTGTGGAATCTCAGAGGGTGTCGGTTCGAATCCGATGGGGGTCACCCTTTCTTCCGCAACTAAGTGGCCTGGGTACAGCCTCTTAAGAACTTCCCCACGGCAATAGGCGGCCGATAGACACCGAAGCACCTGGAGGGGATGCCCAAAGAAGGGTGCTGGGCGGTTAATCCCAAAGCAGTTAGGTCGTCTGAACAAAGTACGACCCGGCCAAATGGATGGGTGGCAACTAGGGTTCGCCCAGGCTCTGCCGATAGACAACTATGGTTAGCCCAGGCTCTGTCTGTACGGATAACTATGGTTCGCCCAGGCTCTGTCCGATCCATTCTACCGGAAACGGTCCCTATGGGGCAGGCTACGATAAGACCCGGAATCCTTGTGATAACAAGCCGATAAGGCCACCGGGCTCCCGACGCAGCTATGACTGCTCATCGGGACGTTAGTAGTGGGGACCCTAGGGTCACACTCCACCGTCTACCCGGGCGAGTGGTAACCACTGCAAGACAGAGACTGGGGACAGGCTGGGAATCCGCGCCTGATGGCATAAGCAAACCAACTGCCCTGGAACGGGAAGCCATGAGAGGTGAAGTGGTGGGCCGTAGCACCCTAGGGTAGTCCCCTCGTGGTGGCTCGAGAGAACTAAATCCTCTGTCGGTGGGATCCGGTAACAACGGACTTCCTGCTTAAGTTGATTCCCTTGGACTATAATTGTTCCGCAGTTGTATACGTCGCCGAGCAAGCTAAACCATAGGCCCTCACCACGCTTTGTCGGACGGTAGAGGTCGGTCAGCGGTCTTCTGTGTGCAATGGTGGGGCCTCGCAAGAGAACCCCTTAACCTTGGGAGGGCAATGTCTAACATGCTCAGGGAGAGGCAAATAATACGACGCAAGGAGAGAGGCAGACACCTCTCCGAGCTGAAAGAGAGACGGAAAGCCCTAACTCAGAGGGCCGACCTGCGCTCAAACCCTGGACTCATATGGCAAGAGAGCCACCTGAGAGAACAGATCGCTCACATCCAGAGCGGGAAACTGAAACGAGCAACCGAGTCATCGACGGCACGTTTCGCAGAGAAGGGCGAATCAGTTAACAAATACTGGTTTAGCATTGGCAAATCAATGAGGGAGTCGGCAACGATCAACGCCCTCAGAGACGAAGACGACGAGATAGCGACCGACACTGAGTCCATGCTTGACGTCGCGAAAAGACACCACGAGACGCTACAAGCGTCTCCTGGCATGACGGACGAGAGGAGAGCGGCCATCGACAAGATGAAGCGCACCACCACTGGCAAGAGGTTTACCTCAGAAGCCAGGAAAGAACTAGGCGCAGAAACCTCCGTGAGCGAGGCGATGACTGCCATTAAAACCGCCCAGAACGGGAAATCTCCCGGGAAAGATGGAATTCCGTATGAGTTTTACAAGTATTGGGTCAAAAAACTCGAGGAAAGACAGGAAAACGATCCGGAATGCCCGGACGTGGCCCAAATATTGGTGAACGTCTGGAATGAAATAGCTTCCGGCCGCACCCCACCTCCTGAATACGTCGAGGGACTGATGTTCCTGCTATTCAAGAAAAACAGAAGGGATAAGATCGAGAACTATCGACCAATCACCTTACTTGGCTGTGACTACAAGCTTCAGACGAAAGTTCTAGCCACACGCCTAGGTCGGAATGTAAGCGGAGTTTTACACCCAGACC